AGAATGCTACCATGGAGGTTCTGAACATTTTAATCTCTTACCTAGCAGCCTAAATTTGCCCTCCAGGACCTCTCTCCTACCTTTCCCTAAATCACTGGGGTAACTCAATTGTGGCCAAAATCCACAGTACAAAAAAAATTAGCACTCTGGATTAGCAATTTTTGGAGAGGATTACTCTGCAATAAACAGGCTCCGCAGGAGTTCCAACAATGGTTTGATGCTCAGCATGTGCCTGAAATGTCCCACTTGTGGTTTTCTTACATCAGAGAATGGTGTTAGCTTGTGTGGATGTGACGGACGGGCTGATAGCTACACACATACCAGGCTTTATCTTCCATTTTTTAAGTGTGCTCATCATCACTGACTTCATGTATGATACCGTAACTCTGGAAATCAGTCAAATAATCAGTCAGATATGGCAGGTAACATCTGTGAACTGTTGTAAAAATCCTTACTGAAACATCTGCCAACATATTTGGAAGTAAATTAATTTTATTATTACTGAATATTGTATATGTTTAAGAGGACACTATTCTGTAAACATTATATATAAACAAATATCCTGTCTGGTGTTATTAATAGTACATAACATTATTAACCCTAAAAGAGTTTTTAAAATCTTATTACCGCTCATCATTTATGCTGTTTATGTTCCTGTTGCATTTCACCTCAGCTGAAAAATGAAAATAAATAATCAGCTTCACTTCATTTCTACTTAGTTTCACTTACAAAACCTTATGAAAAGGCTGCAGTGTTTGGGTTTCAAGTACTGCTGAGAAATAGTTACATACAAACAAAATCTATCTATCTGTCTATCTATCTTTAGGCATTTTGATGGGATTTTCAAAGCCACCTAAAAGATTTGGATGCCCAATTCCCATTCATTTTAAGGGGCATTGGGTGTCCAAATTCCCCACGTGACTTTGAAAATCTTATTCTGAGTGTGGGATTTTCAAAAGTGCTCTGTGCTGGTCTAAGGTTTCTCCCGCTGAAGTCAAAGGTGAAACTCCCATTGACTTCAGCTGGAGAAGTGTTAGACCAATGCTGCATGCTTTTGAAAAATCCCACCTAGATTCATTTCTGTTAATATTCCTGGCCCATTGACATGAGTGGGAGTTTTGCCATTGATTTCAATGGAGGTCAGGATTTTACCCGGGGTGTTTCACAATTAAAAAAAAATAAAATAAAAAAAATAAACTCTAAATTTGAAGACTAAACAACTTCTAAAATTTTATACAGTAGAAGTTATATGACTATGAACTCAAGTCAGACAAGAGAGATTTCACAAAGACCTCTAATTCAGGAGTTTACATGGCATTAGCAATCTATACCAGTGATATACATATTTAAACCATGTTGGGTGATAAAACATATCCAGTATTTAGTAACACATACAGCAGTCATACTCTGAAAACAGGGGAGACATTACTCTTCAGGAATACAGTCTACAAAAGTTACATGGAAAATGTGTTGGTGTTATTTGGCTGGTCTACATTTCAAAGGAAAAATTGAAACCATACTTGGCACGACTGTAGACAGCAGCCACTAAAAAGAGGTTATTGTAAACAAAGTAATGCAGGCCAGGTCATTCTTCTCCACTGTTTCTCTGTGCAGACTTCTTATTAATGTATCTCAGGAAATGAAGGTTTTTTTTGTCTTTCAAGATAAGCAAGTTTCTAAAAAAACACAGAGCCAAATCCTCAGCTGGTAGAAACTGGTGTAGCTCAATTGACTTCAGTGGATCTAAATTAATTTGCCCCAGCTGAGGGTCTCACCCATATTCTACAAAAATGAACTGTGGTGTATAGAAGGCAAAAAGAGATGGTACCTCGCATTTCCCACTGCTTAAACTGATATCTACTTTGTTTACTCATAAGTCCCAATATCCCTTTTCAAAGTACAGTAGTAAGACTTGGAGAGATGGCCTTGGGCACACACACACAAAGTCCTTGCAGCCACAAGTAAACCATAGTCAGCAGCAGGCTGTGCAGCATTGTGATGAAGGATCAGAATATGCACTTTCCCCTGGAATGCAACTGAGTTGGCATCATCAGAGGGAAAAATTTTGTGCCTCCCCCACCCACTCCATTCTGTCACAGCGGAGATGAAGCAAGTGATTTAATACATACAAGTCACTGTGTGTGCCAGCCCTTTTGAGGAATGGTTGTTTTTTTTTCAAAGTAGGAATTTTTTGAAGTGACACAATGTTGTTTTCATTTTTAACAATATTGAAACTTTCAGAGCCAAATCCTAATCTGGTGTAAACTAGCATATCTCTGTTGATTGCTATGGAACAATGCTGACAAACCCCAGTTGAGGATGCGTCCAGCCTGTTAAAAATTTTCTTATTTAAACATAGATTTTTCACGTCTTTTTTTTTCATTCACTTTATAAAAAAAAACAACCTTAATTCTAGGTAATGATTTAAAATGCTGGATTTGACATTAATGTTGACCCACTGATTTGTATCACTACTGTAGAATGGTATTTTGTTCTTTAATTAAGGGTTGCCTGTGTCTCGGCAAACAAAAAGAGCTGAATTAAACCCAGTAGTTTTTATTTATTTATCACCAGGAGCATATTCCATGAACTCCTTGTTGAGGTTATGTACTCTAAGCTTATTTGCATACTTGGAACAGGCACACCCATACAAAGAAGTACAGTGAACACCTCTGGCATTTCAGTTCTAAATATAAGCTTGGTCTTGATAGAAAAAGGATTTTGCCTATGAAACCATTCTAATTTCTCCCATTGTTTTACACTTCCTAATTACGTGTGATTTTCTAAACCAGAAAGTGGTGATTGTAATATTACATATAAATATATATACTACGGTACGCAACTGTTAACTTGAAAGTCTTAAGACTTAATGCGTTGATTGTGCTCGACTGTTTGCTAAGTGCATGAGGAATCCTGAAGACCACAGCACAAATAGCTCATAGACCAGCCCCTACAGTATTTGGGTTAATTGGGTAAAGACAAGAAATTCTGGACTACTAGGACATTTTGGCGTATTTGCCTGGCATACAGTGACGTGTGATTACAAAACAATTCAACAGTCTGGATACATTTGAATACTAAGTTATTTTATAAAGCCTGCACTGTGTGTTTTGAATGCACATTCGCTGTTATGAATAACAGTAATTGTTGGCCTTGGCTTGTCTTTGTGTGGGTGCCAGCTGGCAGCAAGTAGAGCTGCGACACATGACACTACAGCTGTGTCCACATGTTTCTGGGTTGCAGTATCCACTTATATAATTTACTTTTTTGATCAACAGTTGAACTATTCAAGTGCGTATAATTTACTTTTTTGATTAACAGTCAAACTATTTAAGTGAGTTCATCAAGTTACACATGCCAACTACTTCTGCAAGAATACTTATTTTACCATTTCAAAAATATATAACTATTCAATATTCTTTACTTGTGGCGATGCTGCAGCTTCATTACACCCAGTGCAATAAAAGATGCATTCCTAGTTGAACCTATGTATTTTTTCGACTGAATATACACACTAACAAGACAATAGCTCAGTATTTAGTTAAATTAACCATTAAAATAATAACTAACAATGACCTTACTGTAACTGACCAAATAAATGGTGTATCTTTTCAACTTGTCCTCCATGTGGCTGGGATGTTCATATTTATCATTGTAACTAGATTTCTGATCGGGTAATGCAAACTAACTGCGTCAGCCTGAATATGAGTTCTCAGCAGTGACGCTTCTCATACTAAACCATATTTAATATTGGTAAACTTGGGGAAATCTAGCACATGTTGAGCCTAGCCCAAACTAAATGTAGTCTTTTGTGACCCTTTTTAAAAGAAAACGCACCAGTTTAATTCCAGCTTCTCAAGACCAAAGCAGGAAATACACAGATAATATTCGAGAACTTTTTCAGCTCGCTGGTAAAGCAGAAGTAGTGCAGCATTAACAAAAAACAATATTTCCTCCCAAACCTGTATTCATTTATTTACCTCTTCAGTCACAGTGAAATAGGAGAGGGCACAGATTTAGCTTTGTCTTAAAATATGGGGAACATTACCCTACCGTTTTATTCCCACTGCACACTGAAGTCAAGTGTGGCATGTACTGTATTGTATTAATTCAGTGCAGCTTTTAGAATGTCAGTACTAGTACAAGCCAAAGTAGCTGAACATTATCTACCTTATGGTACTAGTACAGTACTGTGATGCATTACAGGGCTAAGGGTCATAAGTTCATGGCAGAAATGATTCATGTAATCTGGAGGAGGAAGCATAAATTGAATAAGTGAGACTTGATTTTTAGGGGGAAGAGACTGAAGTCAGCCATCAAGTGTAAGAGCTCACCCTGCTGGTGACTCCAAAAGGGGCATTAACTGCATTTATGGTGGCAAGCAGGTGCTTGACATTCCATTTAAATTAAGTGACGGTAGTAATGAAATATATGTGAGAGAAAACAAGACCTGGATTAGAACATATTTCACAGAAACCTGTGGTGAAAGCTGAGACGGGCATGACAACTGAATATTAAATTCTGTTAGCACTTGGAGTTATTGAGCAGCAAAGAGCTTTAAAAAAACAAAGCAATTTTGGTTTGAACTATTAAAAAGAGAGAGTAGAACTTTCAAAATCCTAGTGTTTTCTCAAGACACTGTGTAAGTATTATGTTCTTGGTCAGTAGTGCAGCCTTTATGATCCTATTGAGAAGGTGTGTAGCAATGTATGTGGCATGGCAAATTGCACTTTCATGTCAAATGATAATAAAGCAGTCAGATTATTCAACTGAAATAAAATATCACTGTAATTTAGCATTCCATAGGATGGCTATAATAAATGTATTATTAACACATAAAGCACTACATCGCCAGTATGGCTTGTGATACAACCAAGTAAATACAAAGCCGAGGCAGCCACTTTGTGTTTCACTCATCCCATTGTGCCTGGATACTGCAGCACATATAATCTGATCCAGCACCCTTTCCTTTCTAATGATCCATAAGATAGCACACCTACCTAATTCGAGGCACCTTTGGAACCTGGAACGACAGCCCGAGTTAAAGGTAGAATGTCAGCCTTAGTTCTGAACTTCCTAGTTGATCTGTGTCCCAGTTAATGATGGGCCAGCCTCAAAAGGTTCAGTAGTTCAGTTCAGAAGCTTCTCTGAAGTATCTGAACTTCTAGCATGTGCAAAACTGGGATGGAAATCTTGCACGGACAGGCTTTCCCATGTGGTTTTCAGTGCTTCCTGCTTCCAGTCAGACTAGGGAACAGAATGCAAGACCAGCCTTGCTTGTGACTTAGATACCATTGTGGTAGGTGTTATAGAAAGACTTAAGAAGGAAAGAGAGAGTGAATCAGGAAGGGTGGAGCTGTATGAAAATGAAAAATAATGGAAAGCGGTTAACTGAATTTCTCCAAGCTCCTAAAAGTTTCAGTCTAAGGAACATTCTTGGTCAGTTTTTATTTATCCTAACAGGCTATTAGAGCCCAGATCTCAACTCAGACACAATAGGTGAAATCTTGGCCCTCCTGAAGTCAGTGGGTGTTTTGCCATTGAGTTCAATGGGGCCAAGATTTTACCCATAATTAAGATTATTTTTCAGGTTTCAGAGTAACAGCCGTGTTAGTCTGTATTCGCAAAAAGAAAAGGAGTACTTGTAGCACCTTAGAGACTAACCAATTTATTTGAGCATGAGCTTTCGTGAGCTACAGCTCACTTCATCAGATGTATACCGTGGAAACTGCAGCAGACTTTATATACACACAGAGATCATGAAACAATACCTCCTCCCACCCCACTGTCCTGCTGGTAATAGCTTATCTAAAGTGATCATCAGGTGGGCCATTTCCAGCACAAATCCAGGTTTTCTCACCCTCCACCCCCCCACACAAATTCACTCTCCTGCGTCACAAAGCGACAACGTCACTTTGGATGGGCTAGCACCAGCAGGAGAGTGAATTTGTGTGGGGGGGTGGAGGGTGAGAAAACCTGGATTTGTGCTGGAAATGGCCCACCTGATGATCACTTTAGATAAGCTATTACCAGCAGGACAGTGGGGTGGGAGGAGGTATTGTTTCATGATCTCTGTGTGTATATAAAGTCTGCTGCAGTTTCCACGGTATACATCTGATGAAGTGAGCTGTAGCTCACGAAAGCTCATGCTCAAATAAATTGGTTAGTCTCTAAGGTGCTACAAGTACTCCTTTTCTTTTTGCGATTATTTTTCAGGTTGTTTATTTCAATGCTGTATTAAAAAGAAAAGCAATCCCTTCACTGTGGTATATGAGAAGTAACAGATACAAAGACATCTTCGAAATATGAAGAACAACACAAGGAATGCCTCATGGTCTGTTATGTAAGATTTTTCAAAGTTTTTCAAAAGTGGATTTCTCAATATTTAAAACTAGGAAAGGGGAAGCCCTGTGCGGTGCAATTTGAGTGGGCTACGTTAATTGGACTGTGAAGAATTCAGTTTGCATAGCTCGGTATTGGACCAACTGCCAAAGATGACCTGTACCTGCGGATAGTGGGTGGGCAGACGGAGGGCAGCATCTGCAACAGATGTACTGAGCATGCTTAGGCCATGTGAGCATACTCAATAAAAGTCAAGAAGCAGCTCTGGGAGGGCACGTGACCCCACGTGACCCCCTGCCCACATGTCACCTCTGCCAGCTGCCATAGGTTTGCTCAGATACAGGAAGGTTTTGAAATGCAGGTTCGTGTCTGCATATGAACTATGGAGAGTTAAGGTAGCCAAACTACTCTAACTCCACCCCCTTAAAGCTGCCTGTCTGCCATGTTCCCTTCTTTTCATGTAGAATTTCAAAAATGGGCAATTCAGAGCAATGATTTTACATGATTCCTATATACGTGTTTCATATGCCAAGGGCCTGATCCAGAGCTCATTGAAATAAATAGGAGTTTTTCCTTTGGCTTCAGAGGGCTTTGGACCAGGTTTTCAGTGTGCTACTTTGTCACCACACTAAACTTTGTTCTTTTCACATGAATACTCTAATGATCTGTGAATATGAGCTTAATATATGGAGACTCACTAGCTCTGTCCAATAATAATTGAATAATTTGCTGGAATCATAGGGCCAAATCGTGTGAGGTGCCTGCAGTGCTTTGCAACATTGAGCCCTCAAGGAAAGTGGGATTGATTGCTTTGAGTATGCCACTTGTCTCATCAGAAATGTGCACCTTTTTTATGTGCATTGTGTGTGACTGTATAGAAGAGTTTAATGTGGCACAACCATTAAATGGCTGAGATTAAGCCATTCTGAATTCTGTGGTCTGAAAAAATGAATCTGTTTATTATGGATGGTTGAGGTTGTATGAGCTTCTTATTTTTCCAGGTTGCCACTGTGGCTCAGAGTTCGAGTAATTTGGCTGTATTTCCATTCTTTCAAAGGCTTGGGTTTCTTTGTACATTTCAACTGAATTCTGAATTTCTTGGGTTTCTAATCTTTGGGTTTAGAGTTTTTTAAAATATTCTTAAAATAAGTATATGCTCAAAGCACTGGTCTGTATCTGATAACATCACATAATGAAGACTGGTTTTGTGAGGGAATTTCCGTAGTTTTTGTTAAATAGCCCTATATGGGGCTAGGGAGTAAAAGGGATTGAGAGAACATTTCCCTTTTTCCCTCTGAGTCCCAGATATCTGCAGGAGGAGAGCATCACTAATGTACACCTTCTAAGATCCTTGGAGCGGAGCCTCTGGACCTTCAGTGCATCAACGCCGTGGTGATCCTTTGGAGTTTTATCAGGGGGCCTCCAATGCCTACAAGATTTTGGCAGCTTGCTGGGGTCCCCAACTCTCCCCTTCAGAGGTCCAAAGCGACTTACAGATCCTTATACCCTTGCAAATCTTAGACGGCCCATTAGGGGCCTCCCCAGACGCCTATGAGATTTCTGAGGCTTGTCAGGGCCCATGCCTCCCAACGAGTATGAAAAGGTTCTATGGGGACCTACAGAACCTTGAAGCTTAGAAGTGAGTTGTCTCACCAGGGCCTACCCCCTCATACTTTAGGAGGCTACAGGGGTTTCCTCCCCCATCCCCCTCCCCCACAGCCATAGAAGGTTCCTTGGCCTTCAGTTACCTCCAAATAGGCACCTCGGGGCTCTGACAAGACAAAAGAGGCTTGTCTAGGGGTGAATTAATAATTCTTCTAAGTTGGGCTGGTCAAAAAAATTTCCTTCAAAACTGGTTTTTGATGGACAGTTAGGTACTTGACTCAATGACGTTGCAAAAAGTGACTGCTTTCTGCTGAAATGTGTGAGTTTCTGTGGAAATGAACACCATTTTCTGGTGGGTGGTATTCCTGGATCTGAGGGAGTGGAGGATAGGTGGGAAAAAGTGTAGTCTGAGATTTCTGTATATACATGAATAGATAAACTGCCAGCAGATGGTGCTCAAAAATAGGTAGCACAGTTCCTGGGTTTTGTAGGACCAGTAAAACTTGTTGTGTCCTGCAAACAGAGAGGTCACTGATAGGTCACCTGGACAGTGGACACTCAGCAGTGGGTCAGTACAGAGGGAGCTGGGGATGCTGCAACCAGGACCGGTCAGGACAGCGTGGGGCCGGAGCAGCTTGGAGTAGGGTGCTCGCTGGCACATCCCCAAAATACATCCCCCTCCGGTGCTGTGAGATCATGCCACATGGAGGACACCATTATGCAGCGAGCACCACACACGATGCATACGAGGTTACACCAGCGAGTGTGGAGCGGTGCATTCTGTAAAATGGTGTCCTCTATACATGATAAACCATGTCCAGTTTTATATCAGTACCAAACAGGGGACAACCCGTACAAAAAGAAGGCTGTTTGCATTAAAGCGGATGAATGGCTTGCCTAGCTGAGAGCCCAGGGTGGAGTCAGAGTCGGACGATGTTGAGAGCTGGGTAGCGGGGCCACCAATACCCCAGGAGGGAGAGGGTCCTGGGCACAGATAGAGGGAGAGGTGGAATTGGACAGACTCTTTGGGGAGTCACCACCTGCTTCCTTTGGCCTCCCACAGGTGCCCCACTGCCCCTGTCTTACTCCCAGCTCTCCCCACTACCCCCTGCTCCCCTTTGCTCCTTTCCCTAACCTCCCACTGCCCTGCATTCTGGCACTTTTTTCAGGATTCCAGCACTGAACAGGGGTCCCTTTCTGTGGACCTGAGGAGGAGGAGTAGGAATGTGTGTGTGTGTCTGTGCACAAAGGGTCAAAGGACTGGGGAGAGCTTTGAGAGGGGTGCAGTACAGTAGGCAGGCATCTCAACTTCTCCATCCTGGCGAATAGAACCATTCAGTTAACCTATCATTCATGGTTTCCTGCTTCCCATTCTCATGCTAGTATCTGATAAACAAAAGTGTTAGGCGTCTCTAACTATGGTGACCAGCAGGTTTTTGTTTTGTTTTTGTTTTTTAGTGTGTCGTAATTTACAGGTAGCTTGTTTGATGAACTTCGGTTCTGGTAGGAAATATATCCTCTTCCCAAGACCTTGGCTTATATCTTCAGGTCTGTTTCTGCACAGAAGAGGGCTATAGACCTATATTTTCTTTAATGAAAGCTTAAGTCTCCAGTAGCCATTTAACAGCCTATATAAAGCTTGGTTGATCTGAGCATCCCTAGTGAATTTACTATTTAAAAGGTTCATAACTTTTCCCTTCGTGATCACGTAGTCTTGTGGTTCTGAACTTTTCTTATTTCTGTTTTGTTTTGTTTGCTATAAAGCATGTGGGGGAAGTTCAAAGATGTTTAGAGCTCTGGTAAACATCTGAATATTTAGAGAACCATAACTCTCTTATCTAATTCACTTAATATTTGGTCTAAAATTCTATATCTACCTGTGATGGAGTGGACTGGGCCCAAAGGCCCCCTGCTGGAGGCATCAGGGTTCTGCCACACCCATCCCAGGAAAGGAGCAATGGAGAGGTCCTCCAAGCAGCCTAGACTGGTATTGAGGAAGCAACCAATCAGAGGGGCTGCTGTAACAGCCAATCAGGGGCTGGGAGGACCCTATAAAAAGGAGCTGCAGAGCAGAGCAGCAGTTTGTTGCTGCTTAGAGCTGGAGGAGAAAGGACTGCATGCCTGGGTGGAAGAGAAGCAGGACTACAGACAGCTAAGTCTGCTGGCAGGGACTGGAAGAGTGAGAG